CAACTTCTAAAAGTTATTCTTCAACCACACTTAGAGCTGTGGTTTTGTTGGAAGCCTCATGGTTTATGGAGGATGTATATTCATTAAAGCACTCTTTGCTGTTGCTTGATGTCTGTCGGAGTAGTTCTCTTGAGCTGTAGGATTTTTGTTTGTTTGATTGTTTTTCTTTTTTGGATCTCCCTTTCCACTATGTTCTCACTTCTGGCAGGGCAGTGTTTAGCTCAGAGGTGGGCAAAATATGACCCATGGGTTGGATCTGGTCCTTCAGCTGATTGGAGCGCCTGCAGATTGATTGTATCCAACCCACAGTGCCCTGCATGGGGCTGAGTGCTGCCTGTTCCTGCCCAGGGCAGCCAGAACTGCGCTCCTGCTGGCCCTGGCCAGCACGCGCAGCTTCTCAGTGGGGCTGCTCCCAGTGTGACTGCAGCTGCCTGGGTGGTGTCTGGACTCCCCACCACACCACCTCCAACCTCCTGTCCCTGCTGCACCACTCTGTACAGCAGGCACTGTGGAGAAGCTGTGGGGATGCATGCTGGGCAGCAAATGCCCAGCCAGGTGGGGGGAAGCTGGAGCTGGGCAGCTGCTGCCCCAGCATGTGTGGCTCCAACTCCTGGCTGCCTCCCATCCATTTGGCTGCTTGCAGGTGTCTGTTCATTATGCTGGGCAGGCAGAGTGGGTGGAAGGTAGCTGGGAGCTGAAGCCCCACCCGCTGGGGCAGGAACTGCCTGGCTGCAGCTCCCCCCCTACCCAGAGCATCACAGCAGGGGCAGAGGGGGAGGAGGAGCTGCTGGAGATGGGGGAGAGCTGAGCAGTACCTGGGTGGCTGCAGCTGCACTGGGAGCAGTGTGAGCAGGAACGGTTGGGACTCGGCTCCATGTGGAGCACTGTGGAGGCAGCCATGGACCAGATGAGAGGGGAGGGGGTATGGACTGCACCTGCAGTGCCTGGGCAAGCTCTGGTGCATGCACTCCCTGCCCCCCTTCCCCTCTTCCCTCCCCCTCACCCCTGACTGGTTCTTGGGACTTAGCACGTGGGCAACCCCTCATCCATGTACACCCCCCATCCCCTATGCCCATCCCCCACATGCCCCCTCACACACCCATCCCTCCCATGCAAAATGAGCTATTATGCAATCTCTCTCTCTCTCTCTCTCTCTCTCTCTCTCTATACACACACAGTATTAAAAACCCCCCAACAAATCAGCACAAAAAGTATTTTTTGCAATAAAATTAAAATGCTACAATAGATGTTTGATTTTTAGTATATGATTTGTTTTTGTGTGTAATTTGTTAAAATGAGATCTTCATAAAGGGTTTGTGTGCAGCCCTCGTAAGCTCACCAAAACTGTTTAAGCTGCCCTCCAGCTGAAATAATTGCCCACCCCAGGTTTAGCACCAGGTACTCCACGTCCATCTGCTTTCCATCTCAGTGTTGTTGGCATAAGCAGACTTGCCACTTCTGTGCAGGACTGAGAGTTCACATATGACTCTTCTAATGGCTTATCTTTAGCAGGGTCTGGGGGAGTGTGGCTACAATCTGTTCAATCTGCATTGGATTTAAAATTCTGTGGCAGACTATAAAGCCATTTATGAAACTAATTATTGGATCGTTGGTGCCGTGTAGCGTGTGGTGGAGTCTCTAACGGTTTGTGGTTGTCTAGTGTTTAGAAATGAGCAAATGTGGAAACAATTACTTGACATTTTTTTTCTGAGCCTTGACTCAATGGGTGAAAATGAATTTGGGATCAATTCATGGAGTTTGTTAAAACAAACATGCCAGGAGATACAAGCCTTTCTTTGTTTTGATCTGGAGGATTGTTTGGGGAGAGGAGGAGGAGGAGTGATGATAGCGTAGGTGGAATAACAACCACAATAAGCATCTGAAAAGCCAGTGCTGTAGTACTGGTGCCAGTTTTGGTCCAAAATCTGGAACTACTATGCAATTATTATTCTAAGCGTAGCCATTGCTGTGCAGAGCTCGTGTGTGTGTCAAAAAAGTGCATGTTAGTACACACAGAAGTCAGCCAAATACTTAGACTAGAAACTATTCTTGGGCAGTGGGACAACTAACTAAGCAGTGATGGAGATTTACCCCTCTTTCATATATAAGATCATAGTACTGGTATGAGCTTGGTCAGTATTACTTGAAGGAAATGGTAACCTCAGACTACCTGACAGGTAAGAGCCCATGACTGCTGTTGGATATTTTGAGGCTGATTTTTTTTTTTCTTCTTTTTTTTTTTTTTTTTTTTCTTCAAAGGCACTGGGGAAGCCTGGGGGGGGAATGACTGCTGTTGGATGTTTTGAGGCTGTTTTTTTTTTTTTCTTCTTTTTTTTTTTTTTTCTTCTTCAAAGGCACTGGGGAAGCCTGAGGGAGCAGCTTTGTTAAAACTCAGGCCTCTGAGGACTCCAAGGTGTCCTTCTTGCTCTTAGCATGCTGGGTATTGAGAAAAGGTTTCTATTGTTTCTAAATTACCCTGTAGTCCTGCTTGTCTGCAGAGCGTTTTATGTTTGCCTTGTCTCAGATGACTTCTGCTGTAGTTCAGTTGGCAGAGCTTTTGTCTGAAATTATAATTTCAGTACTAGCGGTTAAAATGAATTAAGGGCAGCATGTCAAACTGCTACTCTGCGCAGTGTATCTGTAGTGAGGAAAGCTAGGATTGTATTGCACCTTGAGACCATGTGAAATCTCAGAGCACACATTTTCTAATTGGTCCAGTTGCCGGGGGCAGAGGGGGATGACGACAACCAAGTCTCTTAATGGGTTTTCATTTCTCTAATTTCTGTGATCCCAGGGCTTCCTGTAGTGGGCTACTAACGTGTTGCATATTACTCATGCATGCATGACTTGTGATTTCAACAGGACATGCACATTATATGTTAAACATTGGTGTAAAGGTTTGTGACATTTAGGAATCCCTTTGTTCAAGCACTTTTTTTTACCAATAATTCATAATCCCATTACAATAATACAACATTATGGCTGTTGAAATCACACAGCCAGGAAATGCAGAAACCATGGTTCCATAAACCAGATGCACAACTGTTTACACATCTCTGCGTGCTAGTCATGGTTTTCTTGTTAATGAGTGAATTGGCAGAATTATAAATTCTACCAGGTGGGGCTTATTTCCTGAAATATCTGGAGAGCTCTGATATGGGTGAAGCCTCTGGAATAGAAATGGTACATAACATGACTCCGTTTAAAGATGTAATGCGGGCAAAATATTTTCTTGAATGTAACGTTAAGGTTGCAGAGCTGCCGAATGTGGAGAAGAATATAAGCCATGTTATATATGGCTGAAAGCAAACTAGAAATTTTTGTATGATGAAAGATATTCGTCTCCCCAAGAATTTGTAATGTCTGTGCAGTCCTGGATCGGATTATCTTTTATCTATGAACAGGTTTCTCCATGCATCCATTACCATGCAGCAGTGTCTTCTACTCTGCAACTTTTGGCAAGTTTAGGAACAATTTTCAAACTATTCTAACTTTTGTTAAACAGAAATAATAATAATAAAAAAAAAACCCTCCAGGCCAAAGCCAGGCAACTTGAGGAAGCTTGAATTTACCCAATGCAGCCTTTTTAAAATTACTTTAGAAAGCCCCAATTAGAGTGGCTTTGTGCGTCACTCCCTTAACTATGACCAGTACATCACATTCACTTTGCACTTTCATTAAAAGCCCAGTCCTGGCTGCTAGTGTCCAAGCCTGGGTGGTTTTAGCAAGCCATATTTTTAAATAGAAATCAGAAAGCACTGAGAAACTCAAGTGCGGCAATAACCAAAATATCCTGTCTGCAAAGCAATGAGTGTTGGGGCTCCAGGAAGGGCGAGGTGCTTGATGCAGCCAGGCTACATTAATGCAAGGCAGGGTAGATTTGCACTAACCAAAGTGTGTGTGTATCAGATGAAGCAAGTTGTGTGTAGTGCATCAGATGAAGTGAGCTCTGTGTGTGTGTGTGCATCAAATGAGGTTAGCTGTGTCTGCATCAGATGAAGCAAGCTGTGTGTGTGTGCGTCTGCATCAAATGAAGTGAGCTGTGTCTGTGCATCATGAAGTGAGCTGTGTGTGTGTGTGTGTGTGTGTGTGTGCGCGCGCGCGTGCGCATAGGTGACTGGTAGGGGTGTAGGTGCCCCCCCTTGCTGACTGATGCTGTCGGTAGGACCGCTGCCATCGGTGGCTTGTGCGGGTGCCCCCAGATTCAGGAGGCACCAGTCACGTGTGTGTGCGTGCGTGCGCGTGTGCGTGCATGCATCATCAGGTGAGCTGTGTGTGTTTGCATGACATTAAATAAGCTTCATCTGTATGTATATGTACACACACACACGCACACATGCAGCATACGTACATCAGATGAAGAGTGTGTGTGTGCATGTGTACAGTAGGTGCAGACACAGGTAGTGTGTGTTGTATACCAGACGAGGTGCGGGTCGTGTGGGTGTGTGTCCCCGCGTCCCCCCGCTCGGGCAGCGCCGCCCTCGGGCGCCCCGCGCAGGGCCGGGCTGGGCCGGGGCGGGCTGCA